GACAACAACATGGGTTCGTTATTGTAAGTGCAACGTGCAGCAAACCTCAGAGACGACCACTGCAAGGATGTGGACAAGTCAGCAGGAGGGTTAATGATCAGCAGGGCAAGTCCACCATGCGACAACACCTGTCCATCATCAAGAAAGGGAGCAGCGTCCGCGTAGGTGGCCAAGGCAATTCCAGCAGACAGAGGTCCCAAAGTCGAGAAGGGGGTCTGTGACAATGGCTCGTCAGCATCAATGCAAAAGGCCCCATGATCAATAACCAACTTGGATGGGTCCAGCTCAGCTGGCCTGGCAGGGGGGAGGCGTTTGGTGCCACCTGCATTCTTCTTAGGCATGCTGGTTTGGCTCTGGCGGGCTGCAACATGTTGAGCCTGTTCATCGGGCAACACCAGCTGGATCACTGGCTGGTGCAGGTTGGCCAAGTGCTTCAATGACTTCCATGGTGCAACTCCTGTGACAGCAGCTTGGACTTCAGTCTTGCCTAAGCTCTGGAGGATCATCTTGGCACGTGAATTGCACTGGGCATGTGGCACACCATGCAATTGCAACAGGTTGGCGACAAGACCGGTCACATCAGGGACACCCAACCCCCAGCACCAAGGCTTTGGCACTTCAGTCAAAAGTCCAATGGCAGCACCAAAGCTTGTGCGCAACTCAGCATGAATACGCACCAAATCTTCATCATGGACAGGCAAGGGCTTGTTCAGCAACAATTGGCCAAGGAAGCACACAGCCGCAGTACCGCAGTGATCACGTCCAAAGGAACGCCTGTTGCATGCAAGAGCAAACATAGGACGCTGCCACGCTTGGCTGATCAAGCCATGCAACGGACACAACGGTTCAACCACTCCATCATCATGCTCCCACATTGTGACCCTTACCTCAGAGAGGCCACACGTCCACATGACAGGGATCCAATGGTCGTCAAGGAGCACCACTGACAATGCACGTCACCTGCGGCAATTCATCCATCCAAGCACGTACCTGATCAACGGTACCATGACGGAGCCACCCAGAAGCAAGCAGGGGATCTAAAAACCGCAGATCAGAACGACCTGACAACTGCACACAAGACATCACATGAAGTGTCAGTTCATCATCACCCATGGCAACTCCCTGGTTGTGGAGAATCTGCAAGCGAGAGGAGCTCGAAGTTGAGGCCTGACGCATGGCAACACACTGTTCTCTGGTCACCACAATCGGAGGAACCAGTGCAGCCAACTGAGGACCGGTCAAAGCAAGAAGACCAGAAAGGGCATCAACCGGAAGCCGGACATCAACCGTGCAGTGACGCTTCAAGCCATGAAAATCAGACACGACATCAAGTCACGGCTAGAGGTGGAGAGAGACACATCCAAGACAGGTCGGTGAGGGACAATCGGCAAATCCTGCTCAAGCTGAATGGGATCAATTCCAGCAGCATCAGGTTCAGACATCGGCTCACTGGACGGGGATGAACAGACCTGTATGGTGCGACCACTAACCGTCTCATGACCTTGCAAGACAGACGAAGACTGAGCATCAATCCACTTTCCATCCTCCGGTCCTTGAAGAGCATCATCCGCTTGACGCAGCTGAGAAACAGTGGCATCGGCAGAAACCTGCACTGTGACCTGAGTACAGTCGGCATACACCAGCGTGACTTCATGCACCTCAGGATCCACAATTGTCGGGGCAACAGGCGGGACACTGCGAAAGAGAGTCTTGGCAACGTCATACAGCTTCTGCTTGAACTGCTGGAGACGACAGACAGGAGAAACAGAGTCCGCAGGAAGACCACATCTTTCCAGCAACTGCGCACGAATGCATGCCCCTACCCACAAAGATTGAAGTGGAGACGCAAGTTGTCCAACACCACACAGACAAAGCCGCAAGTCAGGTCTGTCCGCTGAGTTCCAAACATCGGGAGGTGGCAGACCGTTCAAAAGGGCAAGCTCAGTCGGATGCAAATGTCTGTACTGTGGTTCACCTGACTCAGACAAGATCTGGACCACCACAGCATAAATGCCTTTACTTCGAACCAGGGCTTCACTGAAAGGCTCTTGACGACAGGTGCATGGACACGGATCAGCTTGGCTTCCCCAACTGTGCAAACTGGTAGGAAGCTTTTGGTCAGGTTGCAGGACATACTTCCGCATGTGAGAACCATCCAGTGTGAATTGCCTGACTTCATGGGGTTTCAACTGCAACTCCTCAACAACATCGTCTGGCCAAGTAGGAATCACAGGCATCAAATCACGAACCACCAGACCAGCAGACTTTGGCCAATCAGGGATCGAAACCTTACCCAATGAAGGATGGGTCGCAACCAACCACCACCTGAACCGACGGGCAGTCCATGTGCCCTCAAGTCGAAGTGTGACCTCAGTGATGTGGTATCCAAGCTCAGATTCCAAAGCGGCAAAGAGCGACCGTGCATACCTATTGGTTCGGACAGGCGGTACACACTCCAAAATCAAGAGTGGGCATTGGAACAAGTGACAAGCTCTGAGCGTGGACGGCAGGGTGTTGGACCTCTCATCCTGACTACCACCTTGTGAACCCCCAACTGAGTAGGGCTGACAGCTAATTCCAGCAACCAAACAAAAGGGGGGATCCACCAACGAAGCCACTTGCTTGAGACATGCCAAGTCACCAATGTCACCAAGCACAACAGGGACTGTAGGATGCACAGTTTCATGCAAGGACGCAAGAGGAGCACGCCACTCAACACTGCACGCCAGGTCAAACCCCGCAGCGGCAAGACCGACCCCCGTGGCACCCAACCCGGCACAAAATTCCACAGAACGGAAGACCTCACATGCCGGCTTAAGTCCATGTGCAACCACTTCACTGGCATCAGTCAACAGTAGATCCACATAGGGGGGAGTGAAATCAACCAAGGCTCCAAGCACTGTAAGGCGACGACATCCACGCACCTGAGCATTGATCTCTCCAAAGATCCTGACTGGCCTGTGATCAGGTAAGGAGATTCCCATCACCAAAGTATCAGTGAAAACCGTCCCATCGATGACTACAGAAACTGAAGTACCCTTTGCAACAGAATTCCAGTCTGGGACAAACATGTTGTGGGATCGAACAGGGCAATCCCAATCTCCCATGGCAAACAGAACGACCCAAAATTGGCAAGCGCCGGTCTACCTCTGTACTGGCAGGTTTTGGGCCAAGACCTGTTTGAAACCACCAACCAGGATATGTCTGGGCAATTTACATACAGTATTTCAAATGATTCCAGGGCCAGATTTATGAAGTTTATGCCAATGTGTGGTGGCTCCCCACACCAACCATCATTTATTGGGCGCGATCTGGAAAATTATGACCCAGATTTACACAAGCCAATTGTGCATCATGATTCAAAGCGATTGACACCCATGGATGATGAGTAAGGCCGCCTGACTTATTTCCTGGTCGAAAAAGACCAGTTTGGTCAGTTTGGTCACTCCTTGATACACACCATTAAACTATAACATTAAACCGTCAAGGTCACCAATCAGTTTACTCAATGTTTCAGTTTACCCAACAATTATGTACACTTCTCAGTTGACCGCTGCTTAAAACCACCCTGTGACCCAGTGGAACTCATCCGGCCCAGCACCGTCCTGACCTTTTGGAAGCCCAAAAGGGTCGTGTGTCACACGCCGCTTTTTTTCGCATGGCCGTTGTTTTCAACAACGACACCGCAAACGAACTACGACACGCCTCCAGCATAGTCATGCATCGAAAATGGTCAATGCTGGAGAACTTGTTGTCTGATGGTTGAGTCGGCTATTTTCAAAAAAAAGAATGAATTCAGATCGTTATTCCAGGTACGATGACGATTGATACAAAACAACGGATTTGAAAGTACCTGTGATTCCAATCAGTTCCAAGTAAATATTACTTGCTATACAAAAATGCAGACATGATTCAGTCTTTATCATCCATTTACCCCCTGGTAAACTAACATAGCTATGGAAAATCACAATTTTTAATGGGTAAATCCACTATAAATGGGTCATTTTCAATAACTAACATATGATTATGTATGTGTACACAGGTTCCCTTAACGGTGGGAATCCCCAATATATTGGTGAATATCCGCGAACTAATCAACCGGGGTGTCTCGCAGATCAAGTCAAACAGAGGTGTTTACCCTATGGCGTAGGAAACAAAACGTAAAAACTATTTTTCAAGATCCTGAAACTTAAAAAACAACAACATGACATCAATGCAAAACGAAAAAAAAATACCCTCTGGAAATTTAACAAAGCTATTCAAAAAAAGCCATTTATAGTTGATTTTCCCATTAAAAATTGTGATTTTCCATAGTTATGTTAGTTTACCAGAGGGTACGTTCCCCTGTGACAATCGAAATCAATCAAACATGGCTGGAAAATCCAAAAAAAAAACTGGACTTACCATGGACAATTGATCTTTCAATTGGCGTTTTGCCAGGACAAAAATCATCCCTAGCACCGCCCCGGCCTCCCTGGCCATCCGGACGCTATCCCTTGCTGTTTTCGTAGCGATGGGTCGGCTTTTTAAAGGAGGCTTTGAAGTTTGTTTCTGCGAGTAGTAGAAGTTATACACATACTATTCAGGGTGTGAGAATCACCCCATTTTTATCTGTCCAGAGGGCCCATCGCTACCAAAAATAGCAAGGCAAGCTGTGCTGCACGCAGTGGATTCTACTTTTGGGTATATCCCAGGATCCGTGGTGAAAATAACCATGGTTTTTTTCATGGTAACCCAGTGATATCCAGTGATTCATAGGACTTATATATGGTTGATAATCCATGAAAACTATATAAGTGGGATGGTGATTGATAGGATATCCCCACTTATGGTTGATAGTCCATGAAAACTCAGTGACTATGCACATCCAAGTACAATGCAAAAAAGTATGGCTATGGGTCAAAATTGGATAGCCCCATAGTTGGATGCTTAATATACTAAAAGATATACTAAAAGTAGATTTATATTTAAATTTGTGTGGTCCCCAAAGTCTTGAATGACCCATACTGACCCATACGGGACCCGTGCCATGTTTTTTTACGACTCGAATGACGGCTGCCTCCTTATGATGCACCAGGTCAACCCGCATGTGCACCTCGATGCCAAAAAAAAAATCGGCCAGACCATCCCGAGTTTTGCGAATTGGTCGACATGAACATCAATGGGGGTTTAACCATCAATGGGGGATCCCCAATAGCTGCTTGGTTTATGTTGGTTTATAAAGTTTATTTCATGGAAAATCCTATGACCTATGAAAATTGTTGGTTTATAAGGTTTATTTCATGGAAACTCCTATTTTTTAATGCTTGAATTGGAGCTAGCTGTTTGGCTCTGGCCTGAAAAAGGCATAAGGGGCACGTGCTGTCGTCCGATTGGCACGCTGACAGAGCCATGTCATCAGATCGTTTGTTACCCTCTGGTAAACTAACACAACTGTGGAAAATCACCATGTTGAATGGGTAAATCCACTATAAATGGCCATTTTCCATAGCTATGTTTCATTACCAGAGGGTACCCTTCTGGTCTATCCATGGTGATGGTGATTCAGGGGCTTTGGTGTTGATCCATTCCGTCCCAAGACCAAAAGTTGTTGATTGACCTACACACTCTGGAGCGAAGTGATGACCATTTCAAAGCCAGTGGAACACAATTGATTCCCATGGGTGCCACACAACGGCACAAATGAAGCAAGGAATTTGTCCTTACATCGTCCGCGAGGGGTCTCTCTTTGGTCTCATAGACAGGGGAGAGGCCCATAAAACAAAACGGTTGATTTGAAGGTACCCCCCTTTTAGGAAACCCCCATACGGGTATACAATGGAAACGCATATACTAGTACCGCACAAGGCGGCGGAAGTTTCAAAGATAGGAAACTGGAGAGGTGTGTTGTTGCATGTTGATTTGATGGTGAAATCCTCGTTCAAAACCAAATCAACCGATTTGTTTTAAACGGTTCTGTTCATGTACACTAGTATAACCCAAACTCCCCAGTATGCACCCGTTTTTCGTACCCCCAAAAAAATATAGAAAAGTAACTTGTCAATATGTTGAAAACGTTTTTTGTTTTTCTATGAGGTTACCTGGTTGGTGGTTTCAACCCCTCTGACAAATATTGGTCAGTTGGGAAGATTTCCCAATATATGGAAAAATAAAATTCATGTTCCAAAGCACCAACCAGTTACTATATTTTACCATACTGAAACCTCCGTGAATCACCCAGTCCTCCCATCAGCGACAAGGCACAAGGCAGCCCCCGCGCCGATCACCAAAAAAGCCACGCCCAACAATTGCAAGATCTCGCCCTTCGGCCGGCACCCCATAGGTCGAGCATCCCAGCTGGGGAACTCCGGAGGCCCGGAAGTTGTTGTCTAAGCTACCAGTGTTTTACCTAGCAAGTCAGATATAACCCCACGATTGGCAGCCAATCTGGGTATTGCATGCCTAAAATCCATGACCTCAAACACAAAGGATTTTGTTCGATGATTTCCTTTTGTGTATGTGAATATGTATTTGTATATATATATTTAAAAATATGTTATGTATGTATAATATATATATAGTACATATCTTATGTGCATATATATATATAATATATATATATATTATTCTTTATGATGTATAAAATATACATGTACGTACAGGTGTCTTACAAGGGGGGCACACCCCAAATCATCCAAAATTAGATCACTTTAGTAGTGATACCCATGGGACTGGGTTTGGGATGAATTGATATGAATTGCAGGGAATCACATGCTTAACATTTCAGATCAGGGCATGACTCAAGAATCTATCCCAAGAGTCTGAATCATCTTAATCTGATTGGCGGTTCGAAAAAACAAATATCATCCCTGAATAATGTCAACCCCGGATTAGTAAACCATGGTTTGATACTTATTCTTACCTTCCCAGTTATAAGCAGCCTAGGGCGTTTGTTAATCCAGGGTCCAAAATCAGCCGCGACGTAGGGTTTCACCACCAAGCTGTCGATTACTATCCAAATTCAGGACAATGATCCCAGGCTCCCAACACAACTTGATGTCCTCTACAAAACATTGGCACAAACATAAGTGTAATTACATCATATATACATATATATATATTGTATATATATATATTGTATATATATATATGTATATATATTGTATATATATATAATGTATATATATATAATGTATATCCAAGGTTCATGATAATCACATATCTATCTGTTTGAATCTGTTTCTTTTTGTAGCCTGTAAACTGAGTTTATGTGGAAAAGCCACGAATCTATGATCATTTTCCAGGAAACCATGGCTTTTCCACATCTATGTTAGCTCCAAAAGGAAACTTTGGCAGGTCTTGGCAGCACAAAGTTTCCGTGGTTTCCGACTGCGGCGTACTTTTTGTTGATGAAATCCGAAAAATATCATTGTAAAACATTGTAAAACCACATAAAATCACATAAAACCACATTTGTTCGTAAAGTAAGTTTCTTTTACTGATACAATCCCAAGTTTTGTTGGTGAATTCCCTCGTTGTTGATGGATAGTCCTCCTGAGCATTGAGCTGCTCTGTCTTGGGATCGATGATCCTGGGTCGTTGAGGGGAAACGATGATCCTAGGGGTGCTGCGGTGTTGATGGAGGTTTCCCTATAAATAGTGGGAAAACATAGGATAATAAAATCTATAAATGGAAGGTTTCCTAAGTCATGGGGGTACCCCCAGTTCTCATCCAAGTCATTTAAGATAGACCATGACTTAGTATCGAGTTACCTATGGCAACTTGAGGATTCCCCATTTGAAGAAAACCCCTTGAGGATCGACTCAGATTGGAAGATACAATGGGATAGCACCAGGGAAAATGGAGGTAGCCTCTGGCAGTTTAACATGTAATATAGCTACAGCTATAGGAAAAGACACCAGTCAAGTAATACAGTAAATCATCGAACTAGAACACAGATTCCAGTTCGCAAACTGTGAGTCACTATCAGGAGGTAACCATCACCCCCGAGGTGACTGAGAATATCAAAAAAGTCAAGTCAAACACACAAAGGGTATCCGAATGGTAACTGTTTAAGTGCAAAAGGTGGAACACATTTCATGCAGGACAAATTGCCCCAAGTTCAATAGGTTCCGGTTGGTATATTTCACTAGCGTACATACACTCTGGCAATTTAACATCGCTATTGAACATTGCCATTTATAGTTGATTTACCAATTAGACATGGTGATTTTCCATCGCAAACTTTTAGGTTACCAGAGGGTAAGGGTTATAATAATCTTATAGATCAATAAACATTGGATTGGTTGGTATGCCATAATGCCATTAAAAATCCCATTAGATCCTATCAAACCACCATAAAATCCCATTAAATCCCATGTTTTTTTAACCGTTTAATATTGGTTTTGTTGGGAAAATCTTAGCCGGAAACCATGGGATTTTACCATGAAACGAATGAACACCTGGGCGAATCCTTCCTGTAGATCTGCCAGGACCTACCGCTCAGATTGAATGCCAAGTGTGTGGTGCCACATGTTGACTGACATTGGTGACCCTCTGGTAATGACTGACTTTGCGAACTGGAAAATCACCATTTCTAATGGGTACATCAACTATGAATTGCCATTTTCAATAGCTATGTTATATAGTTTACCAGAGGGTAAAACAATAGGTAATTAATCTAATTGTTTTTCCATAGCTATCTTAGTTTACCAGAGAGCAAGTTAAGTTCCCGTGATTGTTGCGAAACGCCCCTCTACCTACCGTTTCTTGACATCGAATACCATCAAAGCATATTACAACACTCGAAATGATCCATCGTTGTGAACTAATTTGCCACTGATCTAAGTTCTAAAACAGCTACACCCACTGCACTCGTTTATATAGTGGTTGAATTCCCATACTTGGTTTGTTGAATACCCATTACTTGTTAACCACTTGACATGTTTGATGATTTTCCTCCATCATTGCATGCTTGCAGTCGGTTCAGTGCCCATCATCATGGGTTGCAGGGATCCCCAGAAAGGGTTTCTTTCATACCCATCACTATTGCTGCACAACATCTTGTGACCAAACAGCACCGGGTAAACCCCATGAAAGCCAAACATCTTGCAACACTTCACCTGTTTGATGAGTCTATCTCCGTACTTGGTTGTTCATCATTAGTTCAATACATATTTACCGAATCCCATCATACCTATATCAAATATGTTCTCACAAGTGAATACAATAGGTTAGTTTAATACCAATCCATATGGCTGCCAAACAGATTGTAACACCGACACGGCTGATTCTGGTTGTGATCCAAGTCTCTTTCATACCCAACCAGTCCCATGGCCGCAAAACATCTTGTGACACTAACATGGTAAATGTTGCTTTTGTATCCATATATATATACATATATATATATATATATATCATATACATATATATATATACATATATATATCATATATAATCATATAAATATATACATACATAACACTATGCACACACTATTCTCTATTCTCTTGATTTTTCATCAAACGTCACCAGGTGAATCCAATCAATGCCAAACATCTTATAACACTTCACATTTCTGATGTTTATATCTCCATAAATTGGTTGTTCATGGTTAGTTTGTTCTACACATTCACCCAATACCCCAGAAAACTATCTCAACCATTTTCAACCGGGGAACATTTCACATGTCCACCATGTCTTATGATTTATGTCTGTTTAGTAAGTTTAGTATGAAACACACATATACCAGGATCCACCAGGATCCACCAGGATCCACCCCCAATGCCAAGCATCTTATAACACTCCGTATTGCTACACTTGGCCCAGGCATGTGTTGTTTCACAGCTGCCCGTGCAGGATGTCATGGGTCGCCAGCACTCGATCTCTTGACCCTCCTAGGGCACGGCAGCGGGCTTTCAGTGTGTTTGGTGGACATGTTATTGGCAAAACATGAGGATTTTAAGATACTATATGAATATGAATAGTGAACTTATATGTTAAATTATGGTAACACACAAAATCAAACATGGAACATATAGATAGTGAACTGAGACACATCTAGCAACAACATCAAATATAGACAGTGCATTAGGACGCACAAGAATGTGGGGAAGCCATAGGAAAATGGGGATTAATCTAGTAACATGAAAATGAAACGCGAAAAAAACATGGTGCATTGCGATATTTCGCCGTTAAAAACCGAGGATTTCACCCATCAAAACACGGATGGAAAAAGCAGCAGCACTGAATGTGTAACTGTTTAGCAACCACAATACATATATTTACAAACACAATCGGGCATGTCAAACTTGGACCAAGGATAGGCACCCAAGTACAACATAAATATGTTTAACAAAAAATAAGCAACATTGAAGATGAAACAACACGGGGGCATTTCTCGAACAGAATGCAATGTGGACGGTTAACAAAAAAAATAGCCAGAATACTTGAAGAAACGGTTGGAACAAAATCGACAAACGAGTCACTTGTTTGTGATCTCAGCCAATCCCAACCAGACAACCTGGTAAGGGATTTCATCTTCCCCCAAAAAAAAAGCTAATATAAAACGATGGGACACTACTAAGCATCATTGATACTCATTCAGCATGAATCACAAAGTGGACCCCAAAACTCAACAGGGGTCGTCTTGAAAAATGTGTTTTGTAGAGATCCACTGACTATAACTGGTTGGTGGCATACCTACCCCCCTGAAAAATATGAAAGTCAATGGGAAGGATGATCCCATATATTTGGAAAATAAAAAATGTTTGAAACCACCAACCAGCTAGTTATTCTACTTACAAACGAACAGTTTCACCCATCCATTTTGGTGTTTCCACCCAACGAAGGAGACCCCCATGTCGGGTAGCATGTGTTTCTTAAAAGACCATGTTTGGAAAACCATGGACATGTCAGTATGTAGCATCCAAAGATGTTCATTTAATGTTCACGTCATGATGGTTCATGTAGCATCTAAATGTTCATTTAATGATTATGTTAAGTTTGGAAAACATATATGTAGCATCTAAATGTTCATTTAATGTCTATTTTGTGCCTTGAGTAAAAAAAAAGTTATTGGCCTTGCTGAAAAAATGACGAAACACAACTTAGACAGCCTTAATCCAAAGACATGCTATTCCTCATTGTTGATTCTTGGGTTTTGCTGCAATGGGTCTCCATTTTTGGAATTGGCCCGGAGTATGGTGAACATCTGCGGCTCCAATGTTTTTGAAGCGATGCGTCTGGCAAGGCAGCGTAGCCAATGAAACGGAGCAGCTCTGGGCATTCGTGCTTTTCAGACGCTCAGACGCCGACTGATCGACGTTCTGGCTTGGTTCACCAATGGTTTTTCCAGATGCTGGTGCAAACTAGAAAGCAAATGCAGTAGGTCACATCCTCACTTAGTAGAAAAACTGGGGAGGGCCCAAAAAATATCCAGGCTTGTTTGCCCATTAATCAGCAAACACACAAAGCATCAACCTACCAAAGTGGTGGCACCAGGGCTAGCCAAGTTGGGTTATAACTAGTATAAACAGGGTTTATGGTGGATATATCTATAGTTAATAGTTACTAGGGTTACTAGGGTTGTAGACCGACTGACATCACATTTGGGGGGACCACATCCCATTAATTTCCTAGTCATTATATATAAAGCCCACTACATTCCCCATGAATGCTATGAATTATGGCTTTCCATATCTAATGTCAACCCTGGATTAATAAACCCCGAACGGCTGTTTAATTGGGGGAAGGGTGTACCATGTGAGTATCAGATTATCACTGGAGGATACCTTCATAATTAATAAAGCATGGTTTATTAATCCCGGGTTGATATAACAATATATATGTATGTATATATATATATATATATTATATATACACTCCAGTAAATTCACATAGACCCAGATAGGGGATGGAAGATTTCCACTAAATAGGTAAATATTTTCAGGATCTTAGTTTACCAGAGGGTCTCCCCGGTCTCCTGGCACAGGCCATTGCACACCAAGTCTTTCTGATATCCGCCTGCACCCTGGCCGCTTGGGAAAAAAATCACAGGAAACCGCAGCTTCAGGTTCTTACCAGGCAAAAACTTGGGTTTGCCTATACCTAGACCCTCAAAAAAAAACATAGAAATTGATAAACATCATTTTAAACATACCAATATTGTGAGTAAAACATCAATTCTTTTCAGAGGGTCTCGGTATAAACAGTTCCTTTAACTAAGTCGGAAAGGATATGATAAGACAATTAGAGATAGCCAGTTGAATTGTTTTTTGCGTGGCACAGCCGCAATTCAAACAAATAAACCAGCAAACATATGCAAACATGAGGGTTCAACGGTTCAACATTAACCATAAATTCATGCGGACATACTGGGGAATGATGTGGTGGGATGCTTGAATGGTGGTAAGATATAGAATCTCTAAATAACATGACTAACCTTAGCAAAAACAAGACTTGACTTAAGACCTAGGAAACTCCACTGGTAATATCTAGCAGTAAACCACCTGTTTTTAGCTTCAAAACACACCAGGCATCTCACATCGTGTTGGGGCTCCACCATTTTCTGGCTAAATCCCCATGACAACAGTGTGGGGTAAGGCTTCATAGGACGTTAATAGGTCGAGTCAACAATTACCATGTTTTTGTTCCTTCATGTAAATTGCTAGTCGAACCCCTTATTTCATGCTTGGCTAAATCCCAATCTACACGGGTAAACTGATCTGGTTGGTGGTTTTAAGCATCTTGAAAAATATGACTTCGTCAGTTGGGATGATTATTTCCAATATATGGGTATGGGTCAATACCTATAGATACATTTTTAGTGGGATGAACATCCATTTACCAGCTATTTTGAGGTTCACCAGGGGTACAAGGTTTTGACACACTGCCATATGGGAAGTCATAAAAATTCCATGGTTCCAGTCACCACCAACCAGTTGTTGGCACCTGACAGCGATCTTGCATGTCGCTTCCCAAGCCGCCCAGCGGAATCGTTACTTCCTCGGTCAATTCCATCTATCATCCGACCTGAAAAAACAATATCACATGGTGACCTCAAAATATACCTGAGTTGGTTTATGTTGGTCTATAATTCCAATAACTACATGATTAAAACTTATTGATGGTAGATATACATATAATTATATAATTGATGGGTTTAAACACCAACACACATAATTAATAAGTGGAGAGGCCCAACTTGTAGTTTGTTAAAGTCACTTGCCAAACAAATCATGGTGCATGGTTGGTAACAACATTTTATCAAAGAAAACCAGGGATTAGACAAACAAATGAATACCGGACGATGCCTGAAAGATCTTAAACGTGTCACACCAGCAAGCAGGTTGGGATTGAAATTGGAGGACACAAACAACATGGCAGTGTACTGTTGGCAAAGGTGTTTGAATAACAGCACGCCTTGGGATAAGTGCGTCCGGTATGCTCATGTGCACCTAAAAACAGCAGGACAAACATCCAACGTTCTGCTCGATTTTTTTCAAGATTGTAGAGAAAAAATGATAGAGATAAATCTCATAGAGGTAAGTGATGGGTGTGAGTTTGATACACATACCTTCTGCAAATGAAACATTGCAATTTTGAATCCTCCTACAGATGAATCTTCCATTGAAAAATATCAATTCGTAAGGGATTTCCCTTACAGGTAAGCTTCATAGAGATAAGCCGGGGCCGGAGGCAGGCGAAGGAGCTGCCCGCCCCTGCCCCATGCCCTTGGGCGCAGGGGGTGGGCTACGGGGGGCAATGTGGACCGCCACAAATTCCAGAAGTTGATGGCCAAATCAGCGGTTCACGGCTCGACCAGTTTGGATGATATGCGTGGCGATGAAATTTAATGTCAACAAGTAAATAACGAACATAAGATGCTGAAGGTATCTTACCAATCTGTTGAGTAAAGATGTCTTGAGATCATCAGGTCCAGCATGCAAGTATACCTCTATGGCGCTTCTTTCTTTCTCTCTCTCTCTCTCTGAAACTGAATCCCGATAGGTGTTCAGGTCCCAAACCAAATACAAACAAAAACGTGCATGAAAATGCAACAGTCACCAGCTAAAAGGACAACTGCAGAAAGAACTTTCCGATATAATTATATATATGTATATATACATATATAATCTCTATCGAGGGACGTTTAGGAGTCAAACTTCCGACAATATGGACAGATGGAAAAGCAGAGGTGGGAAGAATCAAGAAGAAAGAAGATGCGTGAAAAGGTAGAAAAGTCGCGAAACACTGCGTTTTTCCAATGTTTGTCCGGACGGTCGAAAAGTAGGCTCGCTAAAGCGGCGGGTGCGGAGCCATCTGGTCAGATGAGAGATAAAAAATTGCACCCCGTTGTGGCACGAAGCACATTTCGAAGTCAAAATGCCAAAAACGACACATAAAAACACTTCATGCTCGGAGCACTTTTCGAAGTTGAGATGTGCATGCGAAGCACATTTCAAAGTCAAAAGTGTTAAAAACACACCACTTTTGGAAGTTGCGATGTTCAAACAGTGCACGGCGTTGTGGCGCGAAGCACATTTCGAAGTCAAAAGTGTTAAAACTGGCGTCCTGGCTGAGGTTAGGATGCGGTTTTTGCGTGGCAGGCTGATGGATTCTGCACGTTGATCACGTTGTCAATGCGGTGGGTAAAAGCCACTGCTGTGAAATCCACCGGACCCCATTAGAGTAGCAGCATAACCCATGCAATTCCTGAAGTTTGATCAAAATGGCATCTTTGATGATGGTTGAATCATGTTGAATCTTCTTTTCTATCTTATGAGATCGTTTTTTTTCAGCAAAGCCACATCGACATCTGCTAGCCGCGCGGCTAGCCCCCAACACACATGCCAATAAAACGCGCTCACCAAGAGACTCCCCTAGAGGATACCTGAGGTCTCTCAGCGTAACTCCCAGCTTCTGACACACTGAAGGTGTACACCACGTGATCCTCGGAACAGGTGTACTCTCCACCCTGAGATCCCCATCCTCCAGGGAACAGCTCTGAATCGGAGCTGTCATGAAAGTTGTCATCTACCACGGTGGATGGAACATGCTGGAAGCCTTTAAGATTAATCAGTGGAAAAAAAATCGGGATTGAGGTTAACATTACAGCAACAAACCATAACGGGTTTACTATTAGTATCCATCTAGTAGTAGCTCATTAACCATCTATTGTTTGCTAGTAAGGGCTTGTTGTAGAATATTGTATAATTCTCTGAGCAAATAAACATATGGTTATCCCATCTCATTATACTAGTTGGTTGATAGGTTTCTCTATCCTGGGTTCTAATAATCCCCAATAAAGCAGGTAGCTTCATAACTCCCTGTTAAAAAAAAAAATCAACAGGGGTATGTTTAATGGCTCATTCATGGTCTATCGTGGCTATATCTACAGGATCACAGTTGCCCTCCAGTATGCCAGTATTCTGACACGACCATTTCCAAGAGGTAAATCATCATCTATAAATGGATGTTCATCCATTTTCCATTATTCAAATATCTAGATAGTTATACAAAATCTTATACTACCATGATATCCTAGAAATCATCAGTAATTATACCATCTCAGAAATCTAAATGTTGCTGGTCCCATCAATTTCAGCCCCCGGAAAAACATCGCCTGGCAGAACTCCACGGTCTCCGAGGAATCGCTCGAAATGCTGCGCGATTCGCGCTTGGTGTCGTAGCGATGTGTCACAGACACAATGCGACAGGCCTCATCGACACCGCAGACCCGAAAAATTCCAACCATTCCATTTGGAGGCCAGGTGAAGTGACCGGTTTTTCATTTGGTGATCTGGGATATAACTTCGAAATTCGAATACATATGGGATACTGGTAAACGTTTACATAACTATGGAAAATCACCATGTTTAATGGGTAAATCAACTATAAATGGCCATTTTCAATAGTTAGTTAACCAGAAGGGTATTTTGTGGTAGCTTAACAGTTTGCTGTGGAAAATGACCGTGGTTCATAGGATTGAAAATTAGGATTATAAATCAATATAAATCATCTATAAACGGGTGGTTTATGGATGTTTATGAAAATACTCAAAAAACTAAGTAGGTGGTTTCCATTGGCACTACTTAAGGTACCCCCTTGGTAGTCGAACACAACTGTGAACAATGCCCATTTTGAATAGATAAATCATCTGGTAATGGGTCATTTTCCATAGCTATTGTGGATGGTTGAGATATCCTGCACCACCAAAAGGATGCTTGAAACTTGAAACCCTATCAATAAATGGGGATATTTACCACCTTTCAGCTGGTGTTTCGGATTTCGCTGGCCCATCCACAGTATGTTTTCAGTTAGCCGGGTAGCCACCCTGGTTGCCCAATCCCAGTCCAGTCCAAGATTTTTGTTTTGGTGACCTCAGGTACCCAAAAAGCTTTGCAAGTTGCAAGTTGCTGGTAATATACTGAGTTTATGGCTATATTACCAGTATATTACCAGCATATTACCAAACTCAGTATATTACCTGGTATAGGTGGATATGTTTGTTTTTTTCAGTTGATAAGTTCATGGGTAACGTGACCTGTGCCCACATTGAACATGCCAGACATTGAAAAGCCGTTATATAAAAACCATAGCCTCCCAATCAGCTGTCCCACATAAAGAAAATCTAGACACAGAAAAGCCACTAGAAACAGATAGAAGTAGAGGAATCGCATGAAAAACCACCCATAAAAAACCATTATTAAATCCCATTGAAACACCATTAAAACCCATTAAAACACCATGAAATCCCATCAAAACATCACCTGTGTTCTTCATCCCATTGCCCATCCAGTCGACCTGTCCCATGGACAAAAAGATCTCGTCCACATCGAGCTCGGAGGCAGTGGATGCTTCTGAGCCACCGGTGAACCTTCGCTGTTTAAACAGGGCGAGTCTAAGTGACACGATAACCAGGAACTATTTGAACTAATGGTGGTTTTGTTTAATTTATTTGGTCATTGACATGAGTAACAAGGAACTATTAGAACTAATAGTATAGTAATATTATAAACTATAACATTGAATTGTGGTAGTTGACACTAGTAAATAACTACGAACTATATCATGAATCAATATTGTTATATAACATTCTTGGGATGACTATAGCAAGTTAGGAAACTCTTGGTAGCTCTAAACCGCTCCCCATGGATTTTCCGGCGGGAAATTGGAGATCCACAACCACCAAGCCATGGACTTCATGGGAAAATCCCTGGTGGTTGAGCTGAAAATGGGGCTACCCAATAGCTGCTTTGTTTTAGGGGCCAATCCCATTAATAGCTGGATGAGAACTGGGGGTAGCTCCATTTATATCCATTGATCATTTTAGGCAACCCCCACATAATTAGATTGTCGATGACTCGAACCGAACGAATGTGGTTTTAAACAACAAAGAGGGGGGTTGGCTTGACATATCTTAACAAATACAAGATAAGATGAAGATGTTGAAAACTGAAATTTCACCAGAAAACTCAACCGGGGGAATTTTGGAAAAGCAACTCTTTTTTCGGGATAATCTCCCCTTCAGATTTCAGTGATCAGGGTGTGTTTATGTTGTTAACACGTGTTGAGTCACCCTGGTTTTTGGGTTGGGATTTTTACGAACGGTGGATGGGAGTAAGGTCTGACCTATGAGTTGTACATAATCAGGTGCCCCATAGTTATGAGATGTTACGAGTTGGTTTACAAGGCCCAGTAACTATCGTTATATCCTGTTTATACCATCTGGTTGGTGGTTTCAACCCCTCTGAAAAATCTGAAAGTCAGTTGGGAGTATTATTCCCAATATATGGAAAGTCATAAAATTTATGTTCCAAACCACCAACCAGCCATAAAAAATGGTCTAGTTATCAGTCAACTTTGTGGCGGATTTCGTGGGGACCTGACTGGGATCTCTTCATTTTGGCTTCCAACATGTGATGTTTCTTGGGTAAAAAAAACATGAATACGAAAAACCCAGATGCTCCATGGTGATTGAATATTGACCTACATCAAAACCCCAAGAATGCTTCGCATAGTTTTTTTTTGGTCAATGTTCCAGGACCATGGTTCGCATCTGGGATATATATAAGTGGCATAAACCATAGTTATTGGTGTTATAGACCAAGTTAGCTATCTTGGTGTTCCACTTTGTATGGACACAAAAGAGGGATGGGAAAAACGCTCCCCGAACTCTCTCCGATGGCGTGTTCTTCGCCTCGATGTGATGCCTCTGAAATCGGTGAATCATCAAATTAGGAAAGACCACCAACAATTAATTGCAATGTTGATGTGTATATACCTTATTATTATTGTTGATTATTATTATTTGCAAATTATAATTTAAGGTATATCGTCAAAATTCAATGTTGATGTGTATGTAATTGATATCAATCATTATGTATTTATATACCTTATAAATTGGAATGGGATGTTGGGATATCCAATTTTCAGACAAACACACGTAATCAGTGAGTAACTGGTAATAACACCTGTGTGAGGGTTACCGGTACAACTATGTATGATTATGTATGGTTGGAAGTTATACCGTTACAACTACTTATGGTAAGTTGTAAGTTATACCGTTATACCATTATATATATATACCATGGTATGTTCTTATGATTCAAATTACAGATGTTGATCTCTCAGTAAGGATAACCCTCAGGATAACCAATGACAACCTTACAGGAAGGTAACTTGTTTATACCATAACCATCCATAACCTAAAGGAACTATAGATACATCCACCGACCACGAATAACACTCAGTATACTTCTAATTCAACTGACCCATGGTTTAAGCGCCCCTTCCTGTAGCTACTACAGTATAGCCCCCAAGTAATTCATGCCAAAGGACGTACAAATAAGTCCAGCAATAAGCAGCGCTGCCGTGATGACTGCGCAAATGATGCTGGGAAAGAAATTGGCCAGACCCGTGGCTGCCATGGCGTCACCGATCCAACGCACGTTTAAGCGCGCATAGACTTCGGTGGGAAAATGCCAACGGGGACAAGACCAGCTAAGACTAGTTGTTGGTTCCATGATCATAAGGTGACACAGAGATGAGAAGCAAGTTACTAAGGATCAAAAACACTCAAAACAATAAAAACAACATATGAATATGGATAAAATACATCAATATATATATATATATAAACAGTATAAAAACATGAATCAACATGACATATGACAACAACCTGCCTTTCACCAAACAGGATCAACCAGGTACATGTCTCTGGTTTCCAGCTTCTATCCCTTAAGGTCACAACCTAGCAGCTTGAACGTTCAAAACCGGCGGATTCGACGGACATCGGAGACCCAGCCATGTCATTGGCTTGGTTTCCAAAAAAAAAACTCGCCAACAGGAACAGAATTTACATGATATTTTCCTGAAACCAACTGTTTCGACTGTTTGTGTTTGCAAAAAATGGAGGTCGACTTTTCCTCGATTTCGATTGTCTCAGAATTCGCCACCCTGGATTTGCGAACCAGGAACTGCCAGGAACCACCAAAAAAATATGTCCGATAGATTCCCCAGTCGTAGTGGATTTCCCATGGAGAAAACAACAAAAACATCTTCACACATGACTTCACGTGAGATATTTTGAAGGCACTGTGAAAGGACAAGTAAAAAAGGTTGCTTGTCCTTAGTAGCAAAGCCTCCAGTTTCTGAGATTCTTCAATATTTAGTAATATTTACACATACCTATACTAAGTACTATATAGTACAGATATACCTCAAAACACAAACTTCTGTGCTGCACTAAAAAACAATGGACGAAAGGATCTCGGGATCTCGTCCCGCTGGTGGTTAAACATTGCGGACGAAACATGGAAAATTCTGATAGCCTCTGGTGATGACTAACCAGTTCGCCATGGAAAGATCCACCATGCTATTAATAGGTAAACCATCTATTTCTATGAACCATCTATACCATGGCGAACTGTTAGTCATAACCAGAGGGTATCAATGGGACGAAACTTCTCGGACTTATCGGTTTCTGGGTTTCTGACCTACTCACCCATTATATAGGTCCATATCATCATCTGAATAAGAAAATTGTACGGTGGGGAAAATCCCCTACGGTGCTTAAGAAACCACTGAAGAAAACAAGGTTGCTGGTGACAATGCAGCTTTCGTTGGTGGTATCACCCAATCTTACTCCATTTTGTTGGGCTGAAGTCCGATCAAACCCGGATGTTTTTCAGTCAGTTTTCTTGCGTAACACCAATTTGTTTTCCCTTCATTATATATATATATTATATATAATTATATATATATATAATTATATATATATATATAATTATATATATATATAATAATTCCTTACTTATGTTTACAAGTTCATAAATTAAACATGCATAAACATGCCACATGCCGATTCGTGAAATTTGGGTTTTGCTTTTGTGATACAAATTTTCCTGACGGCAGCTGAACACAAGCCCATGGTGCCTGGTGGTTGCTGGTCAAAAGCAACATTTTAGTGTATTGTCTATACGCTTAGATGGTTGAACACCACTATTTGGTTGCTAAAACCTCACATTTACTGGTCGCATCAGTTGTTTTTCCAGAAATTTCCATGATATTCCCATTAAAAGTCCATGAATTTCCCATAAACTTCCATGTCATGACATTCCAATAAAATGTTCTTGGAATTTCCCATAGAATTCCATGACATTCCCATCAATCTCCTCAAAAATCCATGGGAAACTTCACCTCTTTCCGGTCCTTCTCCACACAGCGATCCAGCGAGAGGACCAGGAGGGCAACGAGCCAGCGGCACCGTGGAGGGCGGTCCTGGATGATCAATGGCATGGTGCTTCAGCTGGATCTTCCATAGGGACTAAATAAGTTTTTTTCTATATTCCAAGGCAAAGTGATTTTTTTTGGGGGGGGGAGATATAAATAATGATGATACTATGGTATATTTTAGGGGTTATCCTGGCTTTTGAGGGGTTGTTAACCTCCACTTGTTCAAGTTTTTTGGGCGTTAACCTCCCCAATGTTCAGTTTGTTTGGGGTTAACCCCCATGAATACCATAGTTAGTTATAAGTATAATAAGTATCATAAACCAGTGAACCTCCCAAGTTTCAATTATTTGAGGGGTTAACCCACAATTTTAAATCGATATGATGGTGCTATAAGGATATAATGCGCGGACACCATAAGGATAATGGTTTATGGTAAAATAAGGATATGATATATTATCTTTCTGTGGACCAACAAGAGTCTCCAACCAATACTTGGGGGTGTGGTTGGGGCTATTCTTATGAGTAGAACTATGGACGATGGGATTCAAACTGTCATAAGTTGGGATAGCCCCCACAACTACGGTTATATAATATATATATATATACATACCATATGACTCACTGTCACTGATTAGTGGAATTGCACCCCCAAGTAAGTTGCATGGTTTAAAACTAAGCTGAATAGGGTGTAAGGTAATGTGATATATCATATGAGGATTTTCCTGATGACACCGGAGGGTAACTAAGTTCTAATCATACAAGCTCTGGCCCCCAAGGTATGGTTCCTTTTGCTATGTTTCGGGCCAGAGGAATATCGTTTGTGCTTGGCCGCCTTGCTGGCTGCAAGATGTTGCAAAAAGCTGAAAAAGCAGAAAATGTCTGGATTTACTTTTAGTAGGGATCCAGAAGGGACGTTAGGGACTTTTTGGGGTTCCTTTTGCTATGTTTTAGGCCAGTCTTAGTTGCCATCCAGCACATAATTAACATAATTGCGCCGTGCGCCTTTGCTCATTTTTGATTTCCTCTTCAACCGTAGTTGGAGCTCATACAACGCTTGCGAAGCTGCATGTGGCCGCTCTTGCAGGCCTTCTCTGACACGAACTCGATGATTTTCTGCGCTCTCTTCACGCTCTAACTGTTCCCACAGCAGAGCGTTGATATGCAAGACAACGTACCAATGATACAAAACCCATGAGAAGTCCACAGTGCCAAAGGTCCATGGCCACATGGAACTGGCGGGGATTTCAAAAGATCGTCAGTCATAGTAGATTTTGCAACCAAAAATTTTGCTGGGTGCAAATGGATGAACTTGGGGTACTCAAAAAGCATCAACAAATGCAACCTGAAGCATATTAAACTGGGTCCATTTAAAGAACCACCCACAATCATCCAAAAAAATACTTCAGAATATCTGTTGAATTGACTATGTTCGCATAATCCAACTTGAAAAGTTTTTATGATTGAACCTTTACATCTAACATGGAAGCCCAAGCATTGGGTTTCAAACATGATCTTGCTATTGGATATGGTATTTTTATGTATGTTCCATAGTTCCATGTCATATATTGCTATCCCCATTATATCCAGATAAAATTGTTGGTTTCCCTCAATTTGTTCGCTAAACCCATCCATCTCCATTTAAACTTAGTTACCCTCTGGATGGCTAGCTAGTCCACGATTTACTTCGAGGATTTTCCCAGCTAACACTTCCACAAGGAAAATTGCTACAATTGATTCCCAGAAGGGAAAAAATCTCCATTATATAATCCCCATTAATAATCATTAATATGTATACCAAGATTCTCCCATTCTGAAATCTCTATCAAACCATTATAAAACCATTATGGCTAAGCCATCAATTTTTTTTCGGCACACTCCTGGTTTTCTCTCCCCGTAACTCCTGGCACAGGTAGCACTCACTTCACCCAAGGCCTAGCACGAAATCCCAGATTTCCAGCTGGTCTCCACGGTGTACAGGGAATTTGCACGACAGCAAACAGCTGTTTAATGGTGGTAAAGCAATGCCATAAACCACCAATTTGGGAATGGAAACCATACCAACTATAAAAATGGTGATGACTGAGGGATGGTTTATAGTTGTTTTACTCACATATATATATATACGGCAAATGCCTGGGTTCTGCCCGGACCCGCAACGACGACGGGCGACGCATCATCATCATCATCATCATCATCATCAATCAAACCCTTATTGGAGATCTTCAATGCATGTAGAAGTTTCACGCGGGTGGGAGAATTAAACCCTTATTGGAGATCTTCAATGAATGTAGAAGTTTAACGGGGGTGGGAGAATTAAACCCTTATTGAAGATCTTCAGTGAATGTAGAAGTTTAACGGGGGTGGGAGAATTCAACCCCTATTGAAGATCTTCAATGAATGTCGAAGTTTAACGGGGGTGGGAGAATTAAACCCTTATTGAAGATCTTCAGTGAATGTAGAAGTTTAACGAGGGTGGGAGAACTAAACCCTTATTAAAGATCTTCAATGAATGTAGAAGTTGAACGGGGGTGGGAGAATTTAACCCTTATTGAAGATCTTCAATGAATGTAGAAGTTTAACGGGGGTGGGAGAATTAAACCCTTATTGAAGATCTTCAGTGAATGTAGAAGTTTAACGGGGTGGGAGAATTAAACCCTTATTGAAGATCTTCAATGAATGTCGAAGTTTAACGGGGGTGGGAGAATTAAACCCTTATTGAAGATCTTCAATGAATGTAGAAGTTTAACGGGGGTGGGAGAATTAAACCCTTATTGAAGATCTTCAATGAATGTAGAAGTTTAACGGGGGTGGGAGAATTAAACCCTTATTGAAGATCTTCAATGAATGTAGAAGTTTAACGGGGGTGGGAGAATTAAACCCTTATTGAAGATCTTCAGTGAATGTAGAAGTTTAACGGGGGTGGGAGAATTAAACCCTTATTAAAGATCTTCAGTGAATGTAGAAGTTTAACGGGGGTGGGAGATTTAAACCCTTATTGAAGATCTTCAATGAATGTCGAAGTTTAACGGGGGTGGGAGAAGTAAACCCTTATCAAAGATCTTCAATGAATGTAGAAGTTTAACGGGGGTGGGAGAATTAAACCCTTATCGAAGATCTTCAATGAATGTAGAAGTTTAACGGGGGTGGGAGAATTAAACCCTTATTGAAGATCTTCAATGACTGTAGAAGTTTAACGGGGTTGGGAGAATTAAACCC